TCCTGTTATCTGAGAAATTATTTCTGATTTCATTTTTTCCAGATCCCCTTTTGTTGGCAGTTCAGTGGGTCCAGGTGGTTGAGTATCAGAGTATTCCATCTCATTTCCCTTTGGGGTTGCTGTAGGTGATCTGGAAGTCTGGTTTTCAGACTTATTTATGTATTTTCTCATTTCAACTGGGGTGGGGGCTGTTGGCGCCTGCACGGATTACATCCTCTGAGCTGGGAGAGGTGGGACTGGGGCTGGGAGCATCGGTAAGGATGGTGACCCCAAAGCCCTTTCCTGTGGGCTGGGAGCAATAGGATGGATGTTGGCCGGGAAGCCCCTTCCTCTGGACCAGGAGCAGTGAGATGGTGGGTCAGAAGCCCCTCCCTCTGGGCTGGAAGTGGTGGGAGGGATGGTGGCCCGGCAGCCCCTTTCTCTGGGCCAGGAGCAGTGGGACAGAAAGTGGCCCAAAAGCCCTTTCCTCTGGGCTGCGAGCAGCGGGAGGGATGGTGACCGTGAAGCCCCTTCCTCTGGACCAGGAGCAGTGGGACAGCTGCTCAGAAGCCTCTACCTCTGGCCTGGGAGCAGCGGGACTCAGTACCTTGTTCTGGTGGTCTGATGTCCTCTGCATCTTGGTAGTGCGGAACCAGGTGGCTGCCTGTCTGCAGCGGGGTGATTCGGCATCTTCCACGTGACTCGGGACCTTGGTAGGGCGTCCACAGACCTGCCTGTCTGCAGCGGGCTGATTCGGCATGTTCGGTGCCACTCGGGACCTCGGTAGGGCGTGGGCAGACCTGCCTGTCTGTAGCCGAGTGATTCGGCGTCTCCTGCACGACTCAGGACCTCAGTAGGGCATCCAGATCATTCTTGATTACATTAGAAAAAGAAGTAATTAAGACATATATCTAGAAAATTCAAATAGTATACAAAAGTCCTTCTCCTCAAAGGTAGTGATTGAAAATAATATCTTGTGTGTCCTTGCAGAAAAATATGCAAATGTGTCTATGTGTGTGTATATACACACATACATCATTAAAAGGATAAAACTATACACATTTTTTCATACTCTTTTCTTTTTTTCTTGACTAATAGTATATGTGCAAGATTTCTCAGCACCAGAATAATCAGTTTATTCCTTTAAAAGCCTTACAAATGACTAGCTATATCATAACTTAGCTATCATTGGCTTTGTTTGTTTGTTTGTTTTTTCCTTTCATCTCTCTGTCTGTGGGTTTTGAGACAGGGTCTCGCTATATAGGTCAGGGTGGCCTTGAACTCATTATATAGTTCAGGCTGGCCTTAAAATTGCAGTGATCCTCCTGCCTCAGCCTTTCAAATGCTGGGAGTGGAGTAGGTGTGTGCTATCCCACCCAGATCAGTGGTTTTTTGGATGAAGTTTTAGGAATACTTTTGAATGAAGAAAGGAAAGTTTACAGCATGGATAGTAATAACACCAGGTAACGGGTGAAGAAGAGGAAAGAAAAAAATTGGAAGGAGTAAAAATACACCAAAAAAGTAAAAATTTAGAACAAAAGAAGTAACTGAACATGTTTGGGGGGCACTTTGCTTTCACTTCTGATAGCAGATATGTTGGGTTCTGTGAAATATGAATACAAAAGCTGCAGCAGGGACTTGAACTAGGTTCAGAATGACCAGAGGGAAAGAATCTTGGCAGCAGCTTCTAATATTTACTAGACTTGAGAAGCACAGAGGGAAGAGAGGCCATCTGGACAGCAGTTGCATTTGTCAAGTCAAGAAATGACCAAAACACATGGTAGCATCTTATCAGTGGGAATAGAGGGAGGCTACATAAATCTAAAGTTTGTGAGAGTTTGGGAGAAAAGAAAGATTTCATCACTGATGGTTGGTTGAAGAAAAAGAATAAGAAGCTGTTTCGAGGAGAGATTGACTTAATTTGGTGTTTGTCCACAGAGTTAGGTTGATCCTAGATGTATGTGAGTGTGTGTGTATGAGTGTGTGTGTGCGTGCTCACCAATGTTATGTTTTTACAGAAGATCAGAGAATGGGATGGTCACAGAATTTAAAACACTTGCTCCTGTCTGTCAAAAGTTACTCAGGGAATGTTTTCTCATGTTGCCCACCAACTGTCTTGGGAAGTAGTTTTTATCATTTTCATTTGAGGTAATAAAATTGAGTTTCCAGGGAAGTTGTTACTTGACTGGAAATTGAAACCAGTTCTGTTTTACTTTCAAAACTCAGGCTTTCTTCATGGAAGAATTACTGTAAAATTTTTGCCTATATTATGAAAACCTACTAAAACTGTCTAGGGCCTGATATGGGGGTAGAATATTATGTGGGGCAAGGCCAGATACATAAGGGGTAATGAAGAAAACTACTATTTCTCAGTATGTAAGTGTCTAGAAAATAGCACAGCAGGTATGGGCTGATGAGGCATTTGGGATATTAGGTAGTATTTTTTGAACAGTCCCTGAAAAGCCAAGGGAGAGCTAGTTTCTGCTCGTGTTTTTGCTATTTGCTTTTAGAAAGAGCCATGTAGTGTATGGTAGGGATACAGCTTGGAAGATCTATCAGTGATTGGAGGGGAGGGAAGGGAGGATACGTTCAACAGGGTCAAGGAGCCAGATTTGAAAAACAGAGGAACAGAAATGTTGGCCAAAACATGTTTAGGAAAAGGAAGCTACCATGAGACAAGGGAAAAGGAAGAGAAGCCCCTCAGGGGATCTAGCAGGGTTTGAGGGAGGATGTTGAGACTCCAGAAATAACAATGTCAAGAAAAACAAACGTTCAGCCTAGAGAAGAAGAGATCTGGCAGCAGAGTGGAGTTCAGTGAGCAAAACCGTGCCATCAGGAGAGGATGCTCGATGCGTGGGAGAGCTGAGCTGCATGCATCCCTCAAGTCAGTGGGGGACCCACCCTCCTTCCTATAGGAGCACGGCTCAGATTCACAGTGCAACTCTTGTCCACACTTTGCCACATGTGGAGAATCTGGGTGATGGCAGAGAGCCTAAAATGTTTGAAGTTCAACAAAATCACTTCCAAAGTGATTTGGAAAAGTTAGAGGTATACATTATTTAAACTTAGTGATCTCAGAGGGGAAATTTTGACACTTGCTTTCAGGTATATGAAGGTGTATGAAGAAAAGCATGCTAACAGTACCAGCTATCTCCATTAAGGAGATGCTGGGGGTGGGGGTGGGGGACCAAGCTCTATTTGATGTTGAACTCGATCACACAAAAGAAGACTCCTTCCTCTCTGTGACACTGTTCAGATCTGAGAGGAAGTTACGGAACTCACTCTCTGAAAAAGGTGATAGTGTCACACCTACTCACAGAGGACGCGTGTTCATCCTTCTTGGATCTTTTAGGGAAATGTAGAAAACTCTTCTTTTACCTCTTCAGGCTTCGGCTGGGTTGGGAAAGTGACAAATCCGAGCAACTATACTTAGAAAAAAGGTATCTGAGCAAACCAGTTCTTCTCACTGAGAATTGATAATTATCCGAAGTCTTAAAGGGGAGTCTGTTCAGGCAGATCCCTCTGGAGGAACTGAAAACTCTGCAAGTTCGTATGAATTGTAGCTTTTTATGTGTACCAAATAGGACAGAGCTTTCTATTTGAACTAAACCTGCAGTGTCGTTGAGGGTCACCTTCAGCTCATGTGGATTATTTCTCTCTCACGGTGACCCTTTCAGAAGATCTATTTTCCAGGCACAAAATAATCATAATTATCAGTCAGTGCTTTAAGAAAAAGCATGTATGTGTGCTAGGCTATGTACATTCTGCTGTTTAAACATCTTCTACTTTTTAAAATTTAAAATGTAAGGTTTAGTTTTCTCCATTATATGAGTATTGCATATTCCTTACAATGGATGGTCAAGACAGTGGTTTCAGGAGGCATCATAGACTTTGACGGAGCACAAAGAAGCTGTGGGAGAGAGAAATGCTTGCTATCTGGATGGTGATCACCTGAGTGTACACAGATGTAAATATCCACTGAGGTGTATGTTTGAGGTTTGTGTCTGTTACATAAATTATACCTCATGAAAAATAAGCAATATTATTCCTCATAAAATATTTCAAAAATACAGGAAGAGAGAAAAGATCACTTATTGGTCGTAGCAAACTGCTAACCTGTGGAACATTTACTTTCAGTATATTGTTTTCATTGTACAGTTTGGGATTATAATGCATATTTCTATCCTTTCTTCTCCATATATACAGTATAAACATTTCTGGTGGACTTGTAAACTCTTAAAAAAATCCTTTTCAAAAGCTGTTGGAGGGCCTGGGATTTAGCTCAGTGGTTCCAACACCTGCCTCGCAATCGATAGGTCCTGAGTTCGATCCCCAGTACTAAAACAAACAAACAAACAAACAAAAAGCTGTTGGGGTTGAATTGGGGGTACCCACAGATGCAGATGCTGTGAGCATGTGGTGAGCTAGTGAACAGGGTGGAACTTAGGGGACAAGCAGATTTGGGTGAAGGCGCAGAAAGGTGATGTGCTTAATGGCTAGAGCTTGGCAAGAGGAAATTAATTTTGGGATGACAGAATATATCTTCATTCTGGAAGACCTGACAAGGAAGGCAAGTGAACATAGCTTTCTGAGAGATGCTTCTAATACAGCAAAATCTAGAACATAACTACATTAAGAGCCAGAAATGAGGATCTTTACCTTAGAACTTTCCTCTGGTATATAATGAATGAGTTACAGGTGGATCAGTATTCTCATTTCCTAATCCCTCTGGGTGCCTGGGTGAGGCCTGAGTAGCTGGAGTTCCTGGGTCACACTAGAAACCTCTGTTTACCCTAAGTAACATGCTTTGTATGTGTCACAAGGTATAAGTGGCAGGGAGGTCCATCCCCGTGCAGCAAACTTTCCCTTCAAAAACTATTTCTTTCGTGTGTGAATGTATATATCCTTTCAGGGAGCCCAAACTCTGAACAGAATATAAATAATGATGTAGTTCTCCTGGAAATTTGTAAATCCTCAGCGGACTAAGATAGTACATTAAGAATTTCTGTTATATTTCATCTTGGTTTGTCCTGACAAGAACCTACAAGGTAGGCGGTGGGATTTTAAAACCAAACAGTCCAAGGGTCATAGAGATTGATAACTTGCCCAAGGTCATAAGGTTAGTAGGTAGTGGAGTTTGGCTTCAAACCCAGATTTACTACTCATACAGTTTTTAATCCCTCACTTTTTAAAAACAGCTGAAAATCCTGTCTTTCCAGCCAATGATTTTATGGAGTTATGTTATATAAAAGACATAAACATGAAACTTCTGTGGACCACAGAGTGGGTGGAAGCAGAAGGCTTTAGCACCGCCCTGCACTCCTCGGCTCCTCTGAGTCACTTCTGTGGAACCCGGAAGGCAAGGGATGCAGCTTGGATACTCTGGTCTCTACCTCACTGCCTCGTCGGTCAGGGTTGGCAGCCCTTGATGGCTAAGCACCAGCCAGACAGCCCTTTTATACCACATCTTAGTCTGTTCAGTGTGCTATAAAAATAATTTATCAACAATAGAAACCTAACTGCTCACAGCTCTAGAATCTGGAAAGTCTAAGATCAAGGTGCCAGCCGATGCAGTGTCTGTTTCTCCCAGATGGTGCTTCTTATCTGCGTCCCCCCTCAAAGGGACATCCTTTAAACCTCTTTTCTTTTCTTTTTTTTCTTTTGTATTAAATTCTTTTATTGGTACATTGTAGGTATACAATACAATTACATTTCTCATTGAGTAAACCTCTTTTCTAATGCAAAACCTCTTTTCTAATGCACTGATGCCGTTCACCAGGGCATGCCATTCTCCCTCATGCCCGCGTCACCACTCCAAGTCCTCCCTTTTTAAAGCCAACTCCCTGGAGGTTGGGTATCAACTCATGAGCTTGGTGGGAGAGGCACCAACACCCAGGCCATGGCATATCATTAGCTTTCAGTTTTTGAGATTTTAGTTTTGGTATTTTAGCCTGTTGATCAGTTGTAGTAAATATTTCTTCAGGTGAAGATAATGGTTATATTTTCCTGAGCTTGTGTGCATCTCATACTGTTTTAAGTTGCTACTATAATAATAATAACTTGGCCTATTTTAAAATTCATATTCACCAACTTTCAACCTCAAAGTTTTCTTGCATTTAGTATTACAAACAAATTAACTCATCTACTCTGGTTTTTGTGTTGTCCTAGTTAATTTTTTTTCTGCCCACATTTTGGTAAAATGCTTTTATTTATCCTTATAATTAAAAAAGGAGTGATAGGGCTGGGGATTTAGCTCAGTGGTTCTGCCACCTGCCTCTCAAGCACAAGGACCCATGTTCGATCCCAGGTTCCATAAAAAAAAAAACCAGTGATAAGTCTAATATTCTTATCTATTCATGAATTTTCTTGTAACATAGTGACTCATTTCAATATTCAAGTCTTTTTTTTTTTTTGAGACAGGGTCTCTCTGTGTAGTTCAGGGTGGACTTGAACTCACTAGTAGCTCAGGCTGCCCTTGAACTCATGGCAATCCTCCAGCCTCAGCCTCCTGAGTGCTGGGATTACAGGCATGTGCCACCACACTTGGCAATATTCAAGTCTTTTCTTGGAAAAGACTTTTCTCAAGAAATGCTATGTAAATTTATCTTCATTTATGTCTTTATTTCTGTATATGTATTTTAGCTATGCAAGACTAGGACAAAGGTCAAATCTAATACATTTCTCATAATTTTCATATTTGTGTAATTTTTTCTCCAAATTGCAGGAATATTTATCAACTATATCCCCAACATTATCCACTCAATTTGCTCCAGTTTTAAATCTAACCTTTCATTGGTTCCAGTGGATATGTAAATTTTGATGTTGCAGTTTTAATTTTCTTGCAATCCTCCTTGGCTCACCTGTATTTATCATTATCTTCTCCTAATTTTTTATTGTCTTAGTCTTTTCTTTTCACATTTATAATTTTGTTCCTGTTAAATGGCCTTGCCTTTCAGCATTTTCTTTTTTAAGGGTGAAAATCTGTTAACTTTCTCTGGCTATTGCTGTGTAAATACTCCATGATTATTATCTACTCGGATAACAGAGAAAACTGTGGAGTAAGTTGAGCAAAAGAAGAAAAAAGTAGGTAGGTGGTACTGAATAAAGAGAGCAGAGAAATATGATATAATCACAGGAAAGCCCTTGATAGTTACTTAATACATATAAGATGGTTAATAAATCGCAGTTATTAAAACTTTGTATTTTATATAACAACTTAAGACATTATCATTCCTGATTTATAAATGCAGGTTAGAGAAGTTAAATGATTTTCTCATATTCATTCTGCTGGTTGGTGTTAAATCTCCTTTCAGTCACCCAAGGAGATCTCCTGAGGCTGTGAAATCGACTGGAGACAATGGAATTTACTGTGCTCATGGCTCAGACAAATAAGCAAGTCTAAACAGGAAGAGGATTGTAAGGTTTTGTAAATAATTAGAGGTGGTGTTTGGACCAGAACTCAGTGCCTCATAAATAATTTTTTCCCCTATTTACAGAAATGTCGTAGAATATAATCACATACTGTTTAGCTCTGCCCTTCCTTCCATGGAATCCATACCCTACTGGCTGCACTGAAGTAATTTCTGATTGCACAGTATCCTTTTATGGGGGGATGGGGGGCCAGCTTGCTCCTATTTCATGTAGTTCTGGTGAGACTGTCAGTCAGAGTAGCTGCCCATGTGTTACTGCTCAAGGAGTCTTACAATAAATAGTTTTCCCTTTGTTTGCAATGATGTAAGTTAATGGGGAGAAGGATAGACTTAAGAATAATATTAGCTATGATAATTGTGTTTACAGAGTAAAAGAAGTGAAGTATGTCTTTGTTAGTATGAAGAGGGAAATGAAATGTAAAATAGCAAGAAGGGCATGTACTGCTCTTTATCTGCCTTTCTCCGCTCCCTAAATTGTTTACACTCAAGGCAGAAGAGGTGAGGGTAAAAGTATTTCTAGCATGTAAACTTCTGGGATAGGGTGGTAAGACTGTGGCCGGGAGTTGTGAAGGCTCTAATAAAAATATTCCTTTTCTCTTCTCCATTCTTCCTTAGTTATTTATGTTAAGCCAGGCAACTACATTTTTTCTGTGAATTGTGGTCACATTTATGCTGTTTGTTTTCTGGAGTCTTTGAGTGCACTTTTGAGCTAAAAGTAAAACAAGAATGTACTTTAGAGATAGACAAAAGAAGAGGGATAAAATTCAGAAACAATGCTTTACACAGACTCCAAAAATCCAGTGGTTTGATCCAAACACAGTCCAGTTCTATGTGTGAAATGGTTGCTGACACTCATGTCAAGTTTTGTGGAGCCATAATGGGAAGGAATTTAAAAATGGCAACTGAGAGTAAAGGCCTCATATACTAACTGGTGCGCACATTATAAGACCTAGATAGAACCCTAAGAATCCTGATGTGTGGTGTCTCCTCACCCTTTGAAGAAAATCACACTGGGAGGGACAGAGTGCTTTAATGGCATGACCTTTTACTTGGAAAAAATTATGCTTCTTGGGCCTTAAAGAAAGTTTAGTCATTTGGACCCCTGTGGGTAAGGGCTACAAGTAAATGGTGGTTTCTGTGAAATTATTTTGAGTCCACCACTAGCAATGATGGCATGGAGGAGGAAGAGGAAAGAAGAGGAGTGGAAGGAGGAGGAGGAAGAAGAAAGGAAATTAGAAGTCTTATCATACACTGCATCATTCCCCCCTGCTGGGAAATGGGCTGCCTCAGAGGGCCAGAAGATCCGAATAGACCTTCACCCATGACTCAGAGCTCGCCTTTCCCTCGCTGGGCTGGGATGGCTTAATTTGCCTACGGAAGCACTGGTGCCCAGCCCTCTGGAAGAATGAGTCAAGCCCCTTAGTAGGCAAAGTACAGTGTTCTGGAAATGTCCACTCTGCCTTACCAAGGGCTTCCGTGGTGACTGCCTATCCTTCTCTCTGGCTGCCTGTTTCCTGCCTCTTCCTCATGTATTTTGGTAAAGCATAACGAATATCAGGTTATGATGGATTGAACTGCATTCCCCCAAATCTCATATGTTGCAGTACATGAAAATGTGACTATTTGGAGATAGGGCTTATAAAGAGGTGAAATGAGTTAAAATGAGGTTGTTAGGTTGGGCACTTCTCAGAATGGGGAGGTCAGGACACAGATACACACAGAGGGAAGAAAAGGTGAAGACATAGGGAAGAGACAGCCATCTACAAGTTGAGAGGGGTCTTAGAAGAAATCAGCCCCACTGACACCTTGATCTTGAAGACAATACATTTCTTTTCCTTAAGCCATTCAGTTCATGGTAGTTTGTTAAGGCAGCCCTAGCAAATGGACACACGGGATTGGTTTTCAGCTAATTTCATCTATGCTAACCAAAGCCTTGGAGGAGCAGGCTCACAACTTGCTGGAGCCTCAGTGGGCCACACCGCAAGCCCTGGAGCAGGTGCCCTCAGCACCTCGCTCTTCACTCGGAGCCCCCACTTATCCCAGTGCCAGGCGACAACGTTATTATTTTTTCACATTAAAAACGTCAAGCTGATCAAAGAAACAAACACTTTTAATGAAACATATGTGGGACACTTAGAAGGAGAAGATTTATAATGTGTCTGCTGTGAAACCAGAAGGCTTATGGAAAGTGTGAAGTAGGAGGAGAAAGATAATGGGCTCCGATGCCAGAGGAGACATGGCCTAAATATTAAACAGAAGGAAAAATAATTTCTGTCCATAAAATCACAACTCATTTCCGTATCTAATATATATCATTGATACACATATAGGACATTTTCATCTAACTGCTCTTGGCTCTTTCCACACCCAACATAGTAATGTACACTTGGATCTTGGGGAAGGAAATTAAACTCAGACACTGAGATGTAAAATTGCCAGGATTATTTGTCAGCTCAGAATCTAAGTATGCCCCCTGCCCCATTAAAATTTTAAGGGTTAATATAAGTATGGGTATATTTGTCTAGTTTTGAGTGCTAGAAAATGTCACTTACCATTCAATTTTGGATTGAAAATAAAATCCTGTGTAAAGTCGCCACACTGCTGTATGAAAAGATAATGAAAGATTCCACTTTGGAATATTTGTGTGACCAACATCAAACTTTGGGTGACTGTATATTTCAAATGATGCAAAGCCTGTTTTTAAAAAATATTTTGACAAGGTATTAAAATAATATTAATTACATTTCCACATAAGCCTGAAAATTATGTGTGGGGTTTTCTATATAGTTTTTAGGGATGATAATATATACAGCGGTTATGGTATATAAATTATGACCAATGCATATAATATTTAAAACACATCTTACCTTAAAATCAGTTAGGAAATACCCACAATCCTATTGTTTGTATTCTCACAAATTGTGATTTTCTTTTTAGGCTGGTAGTTTCGAACTCAGGCTGAACACCAGGTGGAGAAGGCAGAATGCCTAGCAGCTCTGTTCACTTCAGACTGTCTCTCCTCTCCTCTCCTCTCCTCTCCTCTCCTCTCCTCT